GCACTAAGTTCGAGTACAGTCGTGAATTAGATGGGCTGCCGATAAAAATCAAATTATACGCTAAATGAGGGCTAAGGGAAAATGTATGGCGATTTCAACTATTTTGTATGTCAAATTATCAACTGATCAAATTTGACCCAAGCCGAAAACAAAACATTTTCACATATAAAAAAAAAAATTATTAACGATTGATGAGTTATGTTAATTATAGCCTTCCAAATAGGTGACTGGGCCAATAAAATCATGCCAACATCTGAAATGGCTTCAGCGAGGTTTCGTTTTTGGGGTTTCGCCTTATTTTTGGAGCGTCAGGTTGTTGAACAGTTTCTGTAACCTTTACTAGACATAATTTTTCAAAAACTTAGATTTCCCAAAAAAGTGCTGCAACATTTTCAATATATTCAACATTTTTGTTATGATATCTTTGTTGTTATTTGAGGTAGCCAAATCAGCTGATGACGTTCAAAATACGTTCTATTGCAAGTGTGCGAGTTTCTAGCGCCATGTACTTCATTTCTATATAGTCTATACGTAGAGGACATAATATTTGCATTTTCAAATTTCATTCAAAATTATGGAATTGCTTGTGATTTTCACTAATACTACGTATAAATATTGCTTGGCGAGAAGAAAAAAATGGTGTTAGTTTTCATTACTATATAGTATAAATAAGTATATCACATTACACAAACTCAGTGAGTACTCATTTRTTGCTTATATACATGCCTCTATATCTGGGTGAAATTTCACTGCCGTTATGGCTTTTATGTATTTATATCATGGCACATTTTTCCTTTAGACTCCTGAGCGGAAGGCAAACTTATTTGCATTTGCTCAAGCTGGTAGGCCATCAGGCGTTATTTCAACTAGTTTATAGCACATTCGAACTCATAAAGTTACTTGTTTATAGTCAGGTGCTTATATTTTATACCATTGTCGTCATAGCCTTTGCACACCCCCCATGTCCGTTGAGTAAGCATTCCTTCAATAAAGGTGTGCTTGTCCTGCTACTAGTTTCACTTTTAACGAGTATTTAACGCTTTATCTTTCACTTTTCGTATTCTTTGCTACTGGTTTACCGGTTTTCACTTTTTCTTTCTTTAATTTTTTTGTTTTATATCTTTTTTTTCGACTTTTCGAAATTTTCGTTTTTGTCTGACCTTCAGCCGAATTGCTWCAAATAAGTTCGCGCGTGTTACAAGCAGGTGTTCGAAGGAATTTTGCAATCGTTTGTTGTCTGTTCAACTATTTTGAGTTGCAGGGGCTCATCACATCAAAGTTTGGTTCGCATGAATTTGTTTTTTTTTTTTTGTAACTTGGAAACAAAGCGATGTCGTTTAAGTCGAGAGATTATTGTACACGTTTAAATAAAAATTTTATTTTATTTATTGCATGTATATATCATACATTTAGGCATATATAACTTTAATTTAGGCACATATAACATATTTTTAGGCATATATATCATAAATTTTTGTATACATTGCATAAATTTAGGCGTTTAATATGGCCCTGACTTAAAAATTCCATACTCCTGCACTGAGTGCCAAGTAATTGCTCACAAAGGGTTGCTCTTATTGCATATATCAAGTACTAGATTTGTTAAAATTTTAGTATATGCAATAACCTTATTCATTTCATTGCTTCTTAACGATTGATGAGTCATAAGCGTTTTATTGCTCTATGACTAATCGACAGTAGTTTGAGCTGTCGCAGTTTCATATTTTTTTTGTTTGCTGTTTAAGGTTGCTCAAAATAAAATGCAGTTGATATTTTTTATGAGAGGTGTGGCTATTGAGATTTATATGGAATATGGAGAGAGGAAAAGATGGAGAAAAAAAAAAGAAATTTTGTACTGATCGATACTTAAGAATATTCCAGAGATTTCAAAGCTCTTAATTTCTTTCTACACTGTATTTAGCTTAGTGCAAAGTCAATTATCCTTTCTTTAACGTTAAGTAAATCCTTGGATACCATAAGAAATACGTCATTGTTGGCATCGTCGTCTAAGCCGTGTAGTTATATAGACTTTCTCAATAAAATGAAAGCCTTAGTGGTGAACGTATATCTATTTTAGTTATTTGTGGCTCATAATTCCTTCAAACAATTTTTGTGCGTAGATATGTTTCTGCGGATGGATGTTTATGCCTTGGAATATAGCACAAAATGAACATATGACGTGTTGTGTCGGCTAAAAATACATAAATAACGTTTGTGTTTAAATTTATTGCTGTAGTTCTGATGAGGAAAGGCTATTGGTAGGATTGCAATTTCAGTTATATCATATATCTACTTCACATAGAAAAGAATGTAATATGTATGTTGTTCAAATGGGGCTATTCAAACGCTTTACTTAAGTTCAAGGACCCCTGTAGGGATTATGATGTATTGGGTAGTCGAAAAAGTCTTTTAATATTTCTAATCAAATTCCAACTTATTTTTTCTATATTTGTAATGAACCAAATATGTAAAATTTTAATCGACCACTTTTTGTCATTTTTATACTATAGATATTATTCCATCAGTGTAAATCGAAATTTTGAAATTTCCAGAACCGAAGCGAGCGAATCATTGTTGAGCTGTACGAACTTATATTTTCACTCATTTTTGAACAGCTTTAACTTTTTTTCAACTTCCCTGAATTGTTTTTGAAGCTTGAATGAAGCTTAAAATCTCACCTTTCCAACACTATGTGGTATGATACAATGTGATTGGTAGCACTGAAGATATGCGACGACATTTATTAACAAAATACGAAAATACTTTATCGACTATCCAATATTTCACGATATCTTGCTTTTTTAGATCAACAATTATACGATCTAAAAAAGTTTCGATTACTTCAAGAAATTGTGATTTAACACGATTTGACTACTTCTTGTATAGTTAATTGAAGTCATTGGTTTTAGCAATAAATATGTTATATTATTTATTAATATTTTATATAAAATTTTAAGATGTGTATAAGAGACAGATGTATAAGAGAACATTTTTTATGAAATATATAT